AAAAAAAAAAAGATTTTAAACTTCCTGTTTCCTTAAAATATCGCCGTAGCTGAGGCTATGCTACCGTAATGAGCGTCTCTGAATTAGTGTGCACAGGTGCAGCAGGCTGTCAGTCCATATAAGCAGGCATGCGTGCGCGATGAACTGCCAGGATTGTGGAGTGAGACGGCGGTGCAGGATGGGGACTTGCCATTTTGACTGTTCATTTGCACCAATCAGCCCTGGCTCCCCCACCCACCCCCAGTTCTTTCTCTCCCTCTCTTCTCTGATTAGGCCCACCGCGGCTCCATCAGGGCCCCCAATCCCCCAGCTGTCACTCGGCCGCCCGTCTGATTGAAAACAATCAGGCCTCTGATGGCACAATTACCCTGACCCTTTAGCCAGCCGCCGCTGCCATAATCAGTCTCTGATTAGGCTGCTTTGGGCCTCCTTCACTTCGCTCAGAAGGTTAATTTGGGCATCAAGAGGGAAGAGAACGCGGTCCGAAAAAAAGGGTGGCTGCACCAGCACCGGACCGACAGATCTCGCCCGTCAATCATTGTCTCTCTGAGTTTTCTCTGCGTCTCTTACGCTGCGGAAATCACATTTTCTCCGCCTTCGTATATTTTCCCCCCATATCTCCCTCTCTCTTGTCTTTGCTCTGTGTTTCTGTAGCGTCTCCCTCCTCATCTTTCACACCCTCACACACACACACACTCTTCCCACACTTTTTCCTTTCAGTGCAGAGAGGAAGGAGGGAGACGGAGTTGATTTATTCTGTGCCCTGAGGAAGTTGTGTGATGCAGCGTGACCTTCACAGTCAGCTGCTGCGGCGTGCACGCTCACGCACACTGTCACTTCACAGCGATGAGGAGGAGAGAGGTGGAGAGAGCGACAGGGGAAGGAGAGGGAAGTGGCATAGATGCCACAGAAGACGGAAACCTTACTTAGAAAAGAGTTGAATCTTCGCTTCTTTGAAGGAAACTTGAAGAGGAAACGGAGGGATTCTCTATTTAATCATCACAGACTTCATTTCATCTCTCCAGATGTTATTGGTGTCTCTTTCAAATTTAATAGTGGTCATTTTTCGTTAAGCGTGCATATATTCTTCCCTAATAAGTTCCCAGGTTCTGTGGGTGGGGCTTGTTTTCCTAATAATGGTATCTGTGATCTCTATTCAGTTCGCCCACATTCACAGCTCACTGCTGCTGAATAACCTTCCACCGCTCTCAGGTTCAATTAAAGCCCCCCCCTCGCTTCCCGGTTCACCTGCGTTAAACAAAGCGGGCCGCCCGCGGATATTTACAGTCTGTATATTGAATGCTGCTGATTAATAAATGCTGGTGTGTTGGCAGCTACGGCCGTAGTGCTGGCTCGCCTCAGTCCGTCCGTCCGCTTCTCGAAAAGAAAAAAGATTAGATTAACAGTCCTTGAGTCGTTTCTTTGGCCTCTTTTTATACTTCTGTCTTAGCTTATTAACAACTCGTCTCGCTTCAGCCAAGCTTTATTCCTTCACCGTTTCCTTTTTAAAGAAAAAATAAGGGTAAGAAGTGAAAATTGTTAGTTTTTCTTTTCAGCTGGAGCAACCCCTACATATTTAAGTGAACGATAAACAAGATGATCACACACAGCAAAAGGGAAATATAAGTACATTAGGTACAAAATAGGTGTTTTTTTTCTTTGGCTCTTAACTAATAAGACAATTTTCCAATACAATAAGATGTTTTAATGTTTAAAATATGTAAAAAAAAAAATGTAAAAAATACTAGTGATATCATGAGATGAGGCTTCGAGGTGTGTCTGACGTTTCGCTACCCCGTCATACCACATGACCACTTCGGGTAGGGGTTTAGCTCGCCTGGAATTTCATCAGGCATTTAAACAGCCTCTGTGTTCAGTCAAAATGTGGGAGTTTGTAGGAGAGTTGGATTGAGTTTGGATATGTTCTTAGAATAGATTGGTTGTTTTTCCCAACCAATCTAGTTGGTTAAAACTAGTTTGGTTAGATCAAACAATCTAATGATCAAAATCTGAGCAAGCCGCTGGTTACAGATGTAATGGGTTTTAAGTATACTACTCCTAAGGTTGATGGTTCAACATCCACCTCAGACTTTTGAAAGTTGCGGTAAAACACAACAAGTATTTTGGCCAGTGAGACTAATTTGTATTGGTTTGCCCAAGTACAAATATAGATTGGGTAAAAACACTGCCAAATTAGATTGGTTGGTTTAACCAAAAGATTGGTGGAAAAACTATTATGTTTGAATAAAAGTGACTAACACCTTTCATTTTGCTCATCATTGCCCAGTTTTTACAAGCACTTCCACTGTCTGCTTGAGCTTATTTCAATAAAATGGCAAAAAAAAACCTTAATTGATTTTTCTCTTCTAAGACATTTTAAACACACAAAGACTTTATTATACACATCAATCATTAACAATTTCAAAGGAACTTAAAGGGGAAAAAAAACAATTGCAAAAAAAAAAAAAAATCACAATTACTAACTGTAGTTCTGCACACCACCAGTAGATGGTGACATGTTCACATGGAGCCTCATGAACCGTGGGGATCGTTGAAGCTATTTGGCCAAACGGTTCAATGCCTCATGAGGCTTTATCTCACCATCACTAGCAAATAAATTTCATTTAAGACATTTTTTACATAGTTTTACTGTAGATCAGTTTTTGTTGTGCACTTAATGAATCCATTTCTTTTTGAGTGGAGATGGACTAATCAGACATATAGCAGGGGAAGTACAAAGATCATTCCAAGTGCTTAACATGAATTAAACAGTAAATAGAAGGAAAATAAAAGAAAGTAAAGATAAAAGCAGGAAGTAAAGCAAATAAAACAGTTGGACTAAAACCTTAAACTATAATACATTACTTAGTTTACCTTCAACAGTCCAAGGCAGTTCTAAACAAATTGTTTTTTTAACTTTGACTTAGAAGAACTCGGGCTTTCTGCACTTTTACAGTCTTCGGAAAGTTTGTTCCAGATAAGCAGAGCATAGGAACTGAATGATTTTTATATGTGGTTTAACTTTTATTGTTTGTTTGTGAGAAAGGCAGCAGCTGAGAGAGTTTCTGTTTTACAATAATCCGAGGTCAGTGATCCTCATAGGTCCTACCGCCCATCAGTGTAAATCCAACAACAGCTTCATAGATTTCTGAGCAATCAACAGTTTTCAAAAGGCCTGAGAAAGCCCTCTGGCTGCAGCAGCTTCTCGGCGCAGATAATGAGACGGTTTGTCTGCTTTCTCTCTGTTCCAGTTGGTCGTTCTCTGGCTAGAACACGACTATCGCTGCCAGTACGCTGAGGATCTCCTGCAGCTCGTCCGCTTTGGCCTGATGGACGTCCCCTGCTTGCACCACCTGGCCCACACCTCCCCTCTACTCCAGTCCTGCCCCACTGCCGCCGCCCTGTTGGAGGAAGCCCTGGACTACAACCACGCCACCTTCTCTCAGCCGCTCCGCCAGTCAGCCATCACCAGGCCACGCTTCCAGTCCCTCACCCTCTATATAGTCGGGGGAAGAAAGCGGGAGGTGAGCAGAGTCAGGGAGCTGCGCTACTTCAACCCGTCGGCACAGGATCACGTACGGGTGGGAAGAGGGTCGAACTGGAGCGAGATGGCGCCCATGCCCACGGGGCGCAGCCATCACTGCGTGGCTGTGATGGGGAACTTTCTGTTTGTTGTGGGCGGGGAGGTGGAGCACGCTACTGGGAGGACGTGCGCAGTGAGGACCGCATGTAGATACGACCCCAGGAGCAACAGGTGGATTGAGATAGCTCCCATGAAGGCGTGCAGGGAACACTTTGTACTGGGAGCTCTGGGTCAGTACCTGTACGCTGTGGGGGGCAGGAACGAGCTGAGGCAGGTGCTTCCCTCTGTGGAACGCTACTGTCCCAAGAGGAACAAGTGGATGTTTGTGCAGCCCTTCGACCGCTCACTGTCCTGCCACGCCGGCTGCGTAGCTGATGATCTGCTCTGGGTCTCAGGTATGAATTCTTCCAGTTCTTCCCATAATGCTTCACATTTACCTTGGTTCTGCTGATACAGTTTATGGCAAAAACTTTTAGAACAAATTAACCTTTAGGAATTTTGTTGCTATTCATGTAACCAACTGTGTAAAGTCTGTATATTGATACATAAGTAGAGCCAGTTTTCACTGTAATTAGATCAGAAGGTCTGCTGGGGTGTCTTTCTACCAGCTTTTCCCTTAAGAGACTGAGATGTGATCAACAAAATCATTCAGTCAGTTTGATCATCAGTTTTCGGTCTTCACCATATATTTTCTGTCACATTAATGTCTGGACTTTGACTAGGCCATTGTACACTGGAAAAACTATCTAGAAAGAAGTAAAAAAAAATCTTAAATTAAGTGTATTTACCCTCAATTTGAGTAGGTAAATGAGATAGTTTGCCAATGGAATGAGTATTTTTACTCTTAAAATGAGATAATTAGATAATATGCACTTAAAAATAAGACAAAGCAATTGTCTTTTCTTATTTTAAGTGTAAATGTCTTGTTTCATTGGCAAAAATTCTCTTTTACCTCAATCGAAGAACAAATTCACTTATTTTAAGAAAATAAGTTTTATCCATATTTTGATTGTTTTCCAGTGTAGGAACTGATTAAACTTTTTCTTGAACCCTTCTATTGTGACTCCAACTCTAAAATATCCCCCAAAGCTGTTTTTTTCCTCCGTCCACACAGTTTTGGTTCTGGACCAGTTTTACCTTTTCTGTTTATTAAAGATCAGCTATTGACTTACCAGCAGTTAACAGGTTTTAAACTAGTAAAACAAACAAATAAAGGAAGACGAAGTATATATCGCCTCCAGCAGTTTCATTGAAAAATCCTCGAGGCTCTCGCTTTGACGTCCAATGTCCCAATCCTAGGTGTCGTTCCCATTTCTTCTTTAGATGTAAAATCGTTTTTCTCGTTTCTAAAATCCAACACGTGGTCTCTCCAGCTGAGTTAAAAAAATCAATTCATGCATTTATATCACTGTAATGCTCTATTTACTAATTTGGATAAATCTTTACTCTTGACTCCAAATGCTGCAGCCAGACTTTGACTCTTTGATGAAAGTGAGACGACATCACTACCATTAAATATCCGTTACACTGGCTAACAGTAGAGTTCCTCTTTAATCCAGATTACCTATGTAATCTATTAATATAATATTGATGGCTGCTCCTTCTCTTTGTTAGGAAGTTCAGATTTGTTTGGTGGTTTAGTTTACTGTGGAACAGTTTCCCTCTGTGGAAATTTTCAGGCCTTTTGTTTACTGTTTACTTTAATGTAATTTATTGCCATTTTATCTTGTTTAAATTATTTTCTATTTGAATGTTTTATTGGCTGTCTGTGCCGTGGTTTGTGATGCTTTATCTTAAAAAGGTGCTTAATAAATATAGTTTACCTAACTTATTTAAAAGGGTCAGGGTGGGGCCAGAGTTCTTTCCTCGTTTGTTAGTTTTTATAAGGGCACAGAGAAAAACTGGGTAATAGCTCATCATTAACATATCAGGAGTGACAAAGCCATTCAAGGCTTTGGAGACTCTGATCTAGCAGATGAAGATTCTGATCTTATCTCAGGTTCAACACCTTATTTATTAAATTGTTGAGCAGATTTGGTATAACGTCTTCAGTAGGGGCCATAATTGGGGCCAGGAACAGTTCTGCTGGGGCCACTTGCCCCCTGTTGGCACCTGTCTAGAACCGTCCATGATTCCACGATTGCAGTTTTGGCTGCACCCATCTCTTAATGGTTTTTCTACCCCTTGTTAAAAAAAAAATATTCCCATAGCATGAGGCTGCCACCACGGTGTTTCACTGGTTCCTTATGGAGATGATTGCTGTTCGATTTCTAAAGAAGATAGCAGTTTTTATGGCTCTCTTTGCCATCTTTCATTAAGAACAACCCTTCCTGTCTTTATTAAAGCCTATTAAAGCCACCCATTTAAACCAGTATTTCAGTTTATTTTGTTCATTTTAGTGAAGCGTTACAATGAACTCCAGAGAATGATGGTCAAGCAAATTGCAAAATTTCATGTGTAACTCTATGAATATGTGTTATCTTTAAAGGTGCTGTAGGAGATCTTGGAAAAACGGTTCCAGCAAGCTATATTTTTGAACATACACAACCATGCCTCTTCCTTCAGGCCACCCCTCAAAACCACACCTTCAAAACACATGCGCATGCTGTCTGCAGCGCGTCTAGAGCAGCAGGAGCAGCTCGTCGCTGATCTGGGAGCTGGCAGGGAGACAGACAGTCCTGCTGATGCAGATTGCTTTGAACCCTCCTTTTATTAACCACTAAATTAACTTAAAAGGCTGAAATCTGCCGGCAAAAC